TGAGTTTGCATTTAAATTTCAGCAATTAAAATTTCTAAATTTCACAAAATTAAGAATACTCGGAATTTTTACTACAATAATAACGTGAAGATAGCTCAAGGTAGTGTGTTTTTTTAATGCTGAAATAGCTTCTGGGTTTATTCCTAATAATATGTCCAGTATCACCTATATTTCCCTATTTATAACAAAATTGACATCATGATTAAGTCTACTAATCTACTAAGTCTACTAATAGTAAAAAAGGTTTTTTAAGTACACAATAAATGAGTTTGTTTCTTGTTCTGATTGCCTTCTACTTGTTTGTTCCTCTGTAATACTTGTGATTATAGGATCTTAAACAAAATCCTTGATAAAGTAGTGTTACAAACTTATAAGATCATTTAACGTAGTACTATAAAATTAAAGCAATAGGCTTTTCAAAAAACTTGACACGTGTTTTATAAGTGATTATAAAATGTTTTCTCATAGGCCAAAACTTATATAAACCACTGTGATTTCCCATTATAATCATTAGAAAAAGTGTACTGTTTCTATTAAAATAATAACTTAATTTTTAAATGGTTTAATGGTAACTTATTATTTTGGCTAAAGTAACTTTGTCATTAGTACCTGAAATGGTATTACACATTTGTAATTGCATATTTGGATAATCATAAACTTGGAAATGTTATTAATAAATTGTCCCCGAAGCATCTGGGTGCACAGTAACCAGTTGTCAGCACTCACCAGTTCACCAATTGTGTGGAGCCTGTGCACAGACAGACGGTAACACTTGCAGAATATTTGGAGATATTTTTGGACAAAATGAGCATAATTTTTAAGCAGAACATTATATTTTGGTATAATATCATAGGATATGAGAACTCCCTGAGCAGAGATTTACAGCAAAACATAGGGACAAAAAACATGATGAGGGCACCCAGTCTTACATTCTTCAGTTCATACTGTGACTGGCCTTTGACCTCATAAAAGGAAAACTAGAATTTGTAAGTACAAACCCAATATTAAGCCAAAACTTGCCAAGAGATCTTTTAAAAGTCAAGGAATGAGTCTGCCTACTGCGTAATTTATCTGAAGGATTTATTTGTTGCTGGCCTTTCAGATTTTATGTTTAATTCCGCAAACCCCTAAGGTATCAAAGAACTTCACCTACCTTACTTTCTATTTCTTTACTTTCTTATAATATAAATTTAATGAAGATAATACCTGTAGATATAACGGTATCATTTTAGTCATCTATGAAAAGTACTATTAATAAAAAAGTTAAAACAAGTCAACATGATCTTGTGGTGGTTATTGTGGAAAGCCTACATCTGAGCTGCCTACTACATAATCCTTGATAATATTCCTAGGGAATCTCATACCAAGCAGCAATTTTTGAAAAACTTAAACTTTATTCCACTACGTAGAAATACAGATAATGTTGTGAGGGTGGGCTTTTTTGTTTGTTTGGGGTTTTGTTTTGATCTTTTAATTTTTTTTAGTAACCTAGTGACCAGCCCACTAAGGATAACCAGTTTTAAACTCTGGTCTAATAAGCAGATTGATTCAAATTTGTGCTTTGTCCTAAGGATTTGAATTGGTAGAAATAACTCTAGACTTTTTTTTTTAAGGGTCTAGATTATTTTGAAATCCCCAGTAGGGTAGTTCCTTACCTTTTGGTTACATTTTAGGTCGTTCAAGCCCTCAGTTAGACCCTTTGAGAAAAAGCCCAACCATGGAACAAGCAGTGCAGACCGCCTCAGCCCACTTACCTGCTCCAGCACCTGTTGGGAGAAGGAGCCCCGTATCAACCAGGCCTTTGCCATCTACCAGCCAAAAAGCAGTAGAGAATCAAGAGCACAGGCGAGGTAGAACTTTAGCTTTTTAATGTTTCTCAATTGACTGATCAGCATTTTCTGCTCACCTTATTTTCATTAAAAGGATTTACTTCATGTGAATGATCCCGGAAGGTTTAAACTGAACTGGATAGAATGTTCAGTCTTATTTGACTCGAAGTGGGGGGGAGGTTAATAGCTTTTTGGATGTTGCACAGGTTTTGGTTTCAGTTTTTTTCCCATTTCTGACTTTACAGAAGTTTTTGATTATGTGTGCTGAGTTGACTTGTCATTTTGCATGTCTTCTTCTGTAGCCGAAGTACACAAAGTTTCAAGGCCAGAAAACGAGCAACTCAGAAATGATAGCAAGAGACAAGTTGGTAAGTTCTTGAATCTGAAAGTCATATCCTGCGCTTCTCCTTAGGGAGAACACTTTACGTGATACATAATTACTACAAAAATGAAAGGGAGGGGTTGGTGATTATATGAACACAAGGGAGTGTCATTGTGGTGACAGAATAGGTCTTTATCTCGGTTATGGTGGTGATTATGTGACTCTGTGTGTGTGGTAAGATAGATAAGAGGTCATGATAAGATGTCAGATGTCATAGATAAAGACACAAAGACATACCAAAAAAATGAGTACATGTGAGCCAGGCACAGTGGCTCA